AGAACAGACTTTTCTATTGCCAAGGGAATCATGAGTTTGCAGCTGCAGAGGAGTCAGCTTTAAATGAGATGACACATGTAAGGCAGCTTGGGCATAGGCTGGTCTTTAAATGTGAGGTTCCAGAGGTCCCTCTCTGAATTGGTGCCTTTGTGAGGGCCTTGGCTCCCACCTGCCTCCCCCAGGCTCTATGATGTGCCAGACTCCTCCCATGTCAGTGATACCACCTGGCCCGCGACGAAAGAACCAGCTCAGCCCAGCTCTAGCTTCAGGAAATAAATGTCATCAACCCCTGAGAAATAGACTTCAGAGAGGAAGATGCTGACATACTGTCAATTACAGTCTGGGATTCTCCACACACTGCCTGAAAAATGCATGAACCCAGTGTATTTGTTTGCTAGGGCTGCCCTAACATAACACCACAGATTGGGTAGCTCCAGCAAACAAATGTGTTTTCTCACAGATCTGGAGGCTAGAAAATCTCACAGATCTGGACAGGAAAAAAAAAAAAAAAAAAAAAGGGGCCAAGTTTTCTCTCTTAGATGCCTAAAACTAAAAACCTATGAATGTGGAGTAAGTAGATTTGGCATGCACCAGATTTAGCATGCTCCAGATCACCCAGAGGGTTTGTCAAAACACAGATTTCTGTTTCTGACTCAGAATGTCTTCGAAGCTGGGTGGGGGTTTACATTTCTTAGATTTCAAGGTGCTGTTGCTGCTGGTCTACTTTAAGAACCACTAGTCTAAGGTTCAGTTAGCAAAAGGAGTGTATCCACAGTGATTGAATTATTGGGGCATAATTATCCAGATGACCATTTGTTTCAATGGGGAATTCTGGACAAATTTATAACTGCCCTAGAGAATTCTACTTTGTAGCAGTGTTCTTCTGGTCTCATCTTCGATGTTCCTCCCCTCCCTTTACCATTGTATTCACCCTAAAAGCATGTATAACCTCATTTCCAGATTACAGTTGTAACTATATTTCACTTTATTGGTGCAGAAATTCTCTGGAAGAGGCCTGTGGTTTGCAAATTCAAAGACATACTTTGAATTGAAGCCAATTTAAATATATAGCTCATTACTTTTTTTGTCTTTCATACAGACTCCAAATTTCTTCTACAATTCCCCCTTTATGTATCAGTTTGAATTGCATTTTTAAAACTGAATGGTTCTTGAATTAGGAACTCCACAAACCCAAGGCAACTGGTAAGCGGTAGCATCCAAAATGCAAATGACCTTCTAAAGTAATTTTCCATTTTTATTCCTGCCCTATTTCAGTCAGTCTGGGAGATTCTTGGAAAGAACATGTGCTAAAAGCATTTCCATTTATATTAGTAGTTGGCTCCATAAATAGCCAATTTGTTCTACTTTTCTCTGGATCATCCTCAAACCTATTAGCCTAAGCTGAGTCACACTGTCAAAGAAAGCTGACATGGTTTATATTCAAATAGATCAAACTTGTTAGTCCCGGTATACAACTATAAACACATTTAGAGAGAAAAGAAAAAGAAAACTACAATATATTCCCAGAAATCAGTAGTGTTTCTATACAGTAATAATGAAATAGCAGAAAGAGAAGTTAAGAAAACTCCATTTACTTTTTTTAATCATTTTATTTTTTAATTTTTTTTTGAGAGAGAGAGAGAGAGAGAGGGAGAGAGAGAGAGAGAGAGAGAGAGAGAGAATCCCAAGTAGGCTTTGCACTGTCAGCACATAGCCCAACATGGGGCTCAATCTCATGAACTGGGAGATCATGACTTGAGCCTAAATCAAGAGTCGATGCTTAACCGACTGAGACACCCAGGCTCCCCAAGACTCCATTTCCAATTGCACCAAAAAGAATAAAATACCTGAGAATAAACTTAACCAAAAAGGTGAAAAACGTGTACTCTGAAGACTATATACAACACTGATGAAAGAAATTGGAGATGACACAAATGGAAAGATACTCCATGCTTATAGACTGGAAGAATTAATATTTTTTAAATGGCCACACTACCCCCAGGGCAATCTACAGATTCATTGCAATCCCTCTCAAAATACCAACAGCATTTTTTCACAAAACTATAACAAACAATACTAAAATTTGTATGGTACCACCAAAGACCCTGAATGTTACCCAAAGCAATCTTGAGAAAGAACAAAACTGGAGGTATCACAATTCCAGATTTCAAGATATACTACAAAGCTGTAGTCATCAAAACTGTATGGTACTGGCACAAAAACAGACACACAGATCAATGGAACAGGAACATATAATCCACAATTATATGGTCAATAAGTCCATGACAAAGGAGACAAGAATACATATTGGGGGAAAAACAGTCTCGTCAACAAACGGTTCTGGGAAAACTGGACAGTTACATGCAAAAGAATGAAACTGAACTGCCTTCTAACACCATACACAAAAATGAACTCAAATGGATTAAAGACCTAAACATGAGACCTGAAACCATAAAAATTCCAGAAGAGAACACAGGCAGTCATTTCTCTGACATCTGACACCGGCCATATATACCACCATTGTTTTTGCTGGTGACCTCTCTCCAGCCATAGTGATCTATTTGTATTTAAAATGGAGTATGGCTTAGGGCACCTGGGTGACTCAGTCAGTTAAGTGTCTGACTTCAGCTCAGGTCATGACCTCAAGGCTTGTGAGTCTGAGCCCCACCTTGGTCTGACAGCTCAGAGCCTGGAGCCTGCTTTGGACTCTGTGTCCCCCTCTCTCTCTGCCCCTCACCCACTCATGCCCTCTCTCTCCTTCAAAAGTAAATAAACATTCAAAAAATAAAAATAAAATGGAGTCTGTCTTTACTTATTGTTTTATGAATATACTTGGCTTTTTAAAAATAATGAATGTAAAGTGTTTATTATGCACTGTTTACAGGAAGGATCAAGATATATTAAAAGAGCTAGTGGGAAGCAATTTTCAAAGACCCCAAAGACAAAGTCTCTGGTGAGCCCTTTTTCTCCCATGTCTGCTGGCTCTTATGAAAGCAATCTCCTGTTCTGTTTAGTTCCATATTGTCAGAAATTTGAGGAGCAGCCTCAATTGCACATGGCCAAGCATGTTGCCATGTGTTATCATTGCTGAGGAGCTAGATTTACCCCTTCCGTGGCTGTCCCTCAGAGCCCGGATTCTTCCTCTGTGCCTAAAACAGCCTCCCCTCATACTCTCTTGCAACTTGAAAAACACCATCTCACCTGCATCCTCTTTATTATCAATCTCATTGAGTCAAATCTCAGCCCAAAGTTGGTGTGGAGACCCCAGTAGGTGTTCCAGGGTAGAAGTTTCATCTCATGACTTCTCAGATAAGCAACCTAGAAGCTCATATCTTGCCACATACAGGGTGAGCAAAATGAATGGCACATGGTAGGGATTCAATGGATGTCGAATTAAATAGAAGCTTTACGATCTATTTCTTTATCACTTCATCACTGCTGTTCCTCATACTCTGTCACTGTTCTTTAGGTAACACTGATTTTTTTTTCCCTAAATCTTAAGCCAAGCATTTTGTGAGATCATCAAAATGGAAAATTCCAGAAATTCTCATGTCAAAATCACAGTTTCATTTGTTCTCTTTCAAATCTTTTCTCTTTGAAAATTGTCCCTTCAATGGGGCGCCTCAGTGGTTCAGTTGGTGAAGCATCCGAGTTTGGTTCAGGTCATGGTCTCACGGTTTGTGAGTTTGAGCCCCACATCGGGCTCTCTGCTGACACCTCAGAGCCTGCTTCGGTACTCTCTTTCTCAAAAATAAACATAAAAATGTAAAGTACAAAATTAAATTAAAAAATAAAATAAAATTGTCCCTTCAAGATAAAACCACACAATATGTGATTTTGGAAGTCACTTGATTTCCCTAAGCCTGTTTCCTTATCATAGGAATAACAATAATCACTCCTTTCAAAGGTTGCTGTAAAGATGAAATAAAATTATGTGTGTGAAAGCTCTTAAGGGCTAGCCAAACCTTATCATTATCATTACCTTAAACTCAGATCACAGCAATACTGATATTCAACATTAATAGCTACCTAAAACAGAACAGCCTCACTGATGGAGCTTTCTTTAAAAGGTTATACTACTCTATTTAGAGTTTAGCCATTTTCTCTTCCATATTTTTTTCTTGTTTTCCCACAGCCCTTCATTCCTTGAATCAGTGGCATTCACTTCCTCAGGAGGTAGGTGGGTAGGTCAGCCTGGTTTTGGGAATCCCGTGGCAGAAGTGGGGGGCCTGGCTCCCCATAGCGTAGACCCAGAGGAGAAGCCATATCCAACATGGCATCTGGTGGTAGCACTACAATGTCTAAGGGAGAAGTCCAGGCAGAGGGGCCTGTGAAGCCCTGGACATGCCAGGACAGTGTGGAGAATGCAGCCAGAAACTTCTCAGGGCCACAGAGGGATGTGGAAAGGACTGAGAAGATGGCAAAAGAGCCCTGACAGTTTGCAAAAAGTGGATGCGATCAGCAGAATAGCAGGGTCTGAGGCAGATGAAGCTTCGAGATGGGAACTGCCATGAGGAAAAAGGACAGCTGTGGAAGCTGATCTCCAAAGACGGCCCTCAGTGAAACCACGCCTCCTGACGGTCATGGACCTGCGCAGTCCTCTCTCACACTGAATTTGGGTTGGCCCTGGCACTCACTTTAACCAAGAGAATAATGGCACAAGTAACACAGTTCCAGGCCAAAGTCTTAAGAAAGCCTGGTAGCTTTTACTTGTACCCTGGTGGAAGTCAGCTGCTTTGTGAAAAGCCCAGGTCTTTCTGCTTGTGCAGAGAGACCACTCGAAGGAGTGCCAAGGGCCTAGGGCTGTCCCAGACCAACCAGCTCATGGCTGTCAGGAACAAACCTGTAGTCTCACAAAGTCAGGTTTATTAGCCCACTGCAATGAAACAGACCACATCCAGAGGAACCACGGGACGACTCATCAAAGGTAGAGTTAGCATAGGATTGGAGGGAGGGATGGAGTTTAGGTGGAATATAAATGAAGCTGAGTGCTTTGTTTCTGAATTGAAGAAATCATTTTATTGAGGTCATTGAGGAAACTCAGTGTAAGGTGACATTAAAAGCCAACAATTTTCATGCAAAGCATTTGCAGAATACGTATGCATTATATGAGGAGGGATGAGAGGGCTCAAGGAGGATGAGTGGGGTGCAGACGGAGGACAAAAGATGGGGGTGCATGAGAGAGTGTCAGTATTCCAACCCAGTTACAAATTGGAACAATGGAGGTCTGCTAGGAGCCGGGCAATGGGATTATGACAATAATCCTGGCTGGCCTAGGAAGTGCCAATGGATTCAAAGCCACACATAACATTCTAATTCTTTCGATGGCTATCATTTAAAAAAATTGGGATGCCATCTTTCATAGATCATAAATTCACATACCACGAAATTCACCATTTAAGAATACACAAATAAATGATTTCAGTATTAAATCAAAGGTTCAATTGGCTCAAAGCAAAGCAGGCTCCGTGTAAAGGATTCCATGTCAGATCTGGACTGTGAAGCGGACCCCGAGGTCCTGTTTCCCAGAATGCTATCAAGTTATAACAGATGGAGAAATCTGTGTCCAGAAACTCTGCATGTGCATCGCAAATCAAGGCTGTTTGGGCATGTCACGCTTACTGATAAAAATTCCTGATAATCTATGATTTTAGAAAGCAAAGTTTCTCATGAACGAGAAAGATGGATGTTAGGGCACTTGCAGCTGCAGTGTGTCCTTGGCTAAAATATTTCCTTCTGTTAACTGTGCGTCTGACATTATCCATGTCTCTGATTCCAGCCTGATGAATGGCTAGGCAGATGTTTACATTCATGGTCTGAGCTGATTTTTACTTTCTCAGAGTAAAGAAGGCAACTCAGGACTTCCAGGCCAATGGAGCCTCCAGCGGGCCCAGTTCCAGCTGCCATCTGATGGCCGCTGTGAGAGAGGCCCCAAGCGAGGTTAGGAGAATCAGCTGAGTCCCACCAACCTGCAAAGCTGGGAGAGAGAATAATGTCTTGCATTTAGCTGCTAAGTTTGGGAACGGTTTGTTACCCAGAGATTATGGAATTGGCCAGGCTTGAAGCAAACCTCTCCCCTGATGGCAGGGAAGACCCCCCCAAAATGAGATCATCCTCAGGTAAGAAGGAAACAGGGGAGAGGAGTGAATCGAAAGTAGATGAAGCACTTAGAAGAGATGAGTGTTACCCTCTGGTGATAGAAGTCAGAAAGCGGCTACCCCTGGGGGATGGAGGTTTGACTGGAAAGAGCATGAGGGAGCCCTCTGCATTGCTGGACATGCTATGTGTCTGGATCTGGGAATGGTTACCCAGATGCATACCTACTTAAGAATTCATCAAGCCGTATGCGTAAGATAAGTAGAAATGGAGCTCAGGAGCTGAGTTCTATTACAGAGGAATAAAGAAAAGTCAACCAATTTTGTGAACTATATACCTGCCACAAACATACTATATAAGTGAAAATAAGAGATTACGACAGACACATGAAGGAAACAAATATTTATGTAGGAGAAAAAGTACAAATTATGAATTTAAGGAGGAACATGATTGTGAGCAGGGAACTTAAGAAGAGTATAAAATTACAAAATTGCTGGAATATTCACTCACAATTCCTATTTTATGAATGAAATTAGAAATAGACTTTACCTCTTCAAGGTCATGTCCCTGGAATTAGAGATGGAAGGAAGCTTTGAAACCCTCTTTCACTAGTTCTCAAATTGGGCTGCACACCGGAATCACCTGGGGAGCTTTAAAAATACTGATGCCTGTGCCCCTAGAGATTCTGATGTAATTGGGTTACAGTGCAGCCTGGGATTCAAGATTTTTAAGATCCCCAGGTGGTTTCCGTGTGCTGCCAGGATTGAGAACCACTGGTCAATTTCAACCACTCTTCACAAATGAGAACAGAGGCCCAGTACTGACAAATGGCTTGCAAAGTATCCATTAATTGGCCAAAGCCAATTTTCTCTGATGTGCCTTAATAGGAGGGAGCTGTGGCATGGATAATACCAAACAGTGAATAATCTAAAAATAATTTCTATTTGGTTTGGGAAAGCAGCACGTGACTTCCCGGCCACTGACTGGTCTGCTAATTCAGTTTGGCTCAAATGAATGTGCCTTTTCCTGAGTTTACACTGACAGCCCAGGCCTGTGCTGAGGTGTGGAAGGAAGGCGGCCAAACCAGATATTGACCATGGTCAGTTCCCCAGCTGTCCAAAGCACACAATAACTATACAGACGTGCGGACTTCTCTTTCTTACCAGAAGACTCCACAGAGGGACAAAACTAGCTTTTTCCTGACCCTGTGTTCTGTGAGCGGTGGGTGCCTGAGGCATGAAGAGGGAGTGAGGGGGAGGGGCTAACGGTTATCAAGGGGCATTTTTGTGCCAGGTTTCATGCTACCCATTCCTATAAACAGCATGTGCTCCAGACAACTCTATGAGTTAGGCATTCTATTATTCTCGTTATAGAGATGAGGAAACTGAGACTTAGGTTGTAGAAGCACCAAAGCAGAGCCAAGATGGAAACTCGGGCTTACTTTACTCCGTCCAAGAGGGATAGTCGAGGCCCGAAACTGAAAAACAAGCTGCAGGAGGATCCTTGGATTTTAAGCCCTGAACAGGCCCTGCCTCCCTACTTTTCAGCCCTAACAGTCTAAAGGCAGCAGTAAAGAGGCCTCCAGAAGTGCCTGTGGCAGCCACGAGGAGCCAACTACCAAGATCCCCAGCTGCTGCTTCTCCAAAATCCATCGCCTGATGTGTGCCAAGCTCACACTTCCCAGGCATTGTGCTGCTCCCCTCCGATGTCTGCGTCCAGTAGGATATGAAGGGGGCCCGTTCCTGGGAGACATGGGACTATGACAGAAGCTTTGCCAAATCTTCCTCAGACGGCAGGCAACGGGAATGCTTGGGCCCAATCTTCTCTCCCTCCCTCCTTTCCCAGGGTGAGGTTTGCATGGCAGTCTGATGGCTCTCTCAGCCTTTTCCTGCTCCTTTTGTTTTCTCTCACACAGGTGGTTCCCTGAATAAAACCCTCGGAGTGTTCAATCCCATGCAATGCCCCTCCCCCACTGGCGCCCCCAACCATATATGCATCACTGTGGGAGGAAAGGAGGTCATCCTCTGCTGACTCTTCTAGAAGAACATGGTCCGAGATTTTGAAGGTGAAGTCTACAGAGGAACAAGTTTCTCAATATGTTTGCCCTTGTCATTGGTCTTAGTGCCATGAAGGAAGACAGCCTAGGCAACAAATGGTTCACTAGCACACCAACTAGCCCTAATTCATTTGCCAAGAGTTACCTTTTACTCCAGGCATCCTGGAACACCAGTGCCAACTTAAAAAGGGTAGGGATTCTTTTCCGATTTCACATCCTTTGGGGAAGACATTCAAGCCCTGCAGCCTCAGTGACTCCTTGTAGGGAGATTCTCTTGTCATCTTTTGCTGCTCCTGAAAGAAGAAAGCAGATAAATGATATGCTGATTCTAAAACACCTAGAAGGGGGGCGCCTGGGTGGCTGTCAGTTAAGCATCAGACTTCGGCTCAGGCCATGATCTCATGGTTCATGGGTTCGAGCCCTGTGTTGGGCTCTGTGCTGACAGCTCAGAGCCTGGAGCCTGCTCTGGATTCTGTCTACCGCTTTCTCTGCCCCTCCCCCACTCATTCTCTCCCTCCCCTCTCTCCAATAAACATTAAAAAAAATTTAAAACACCCAGAAGGAAAGTGGTGCGTGCCACAGTCACCAGTATCAGTCAGAGTTGTTCTGGAAGTACCGACCAATGCCACCAGATAAAAGAAAGGAAGAAGAGGTGTTTTGAAAATTATTTATTTTTTAAGTTTGTATTTTAATTCCAGTTAGTGAACATAAAGTGTAATAAACCGCCTCCCCTCGGTTCCTTCTCTAGGAAAGGAAGAAAAGGTTTAAGAGAACCCATTAAGTATGAAATTAATACACAAAATACGTAAATAATAGCTAACTATAAATGTAGTAGAAGAATTTATTTACACTAGCACAAAACAGATTAATGTCCAGGAACAAATTTAATAAAAATGGGGCAAGGCTACTATGAAAACTTTAAAACTCCACTGAGGGACAAAGAAAACCCACTTTCAAAAAAATCAAAGATACCCTAGCATTAGTAGAAACGATACTTTAAGATTCAATTCTCCAAATATCAGAAGAACTGATATTTGAGAAATATGCATTTAATGCCGTTCTGTATTAACCCTGTCTTTTTGTTTTCTGTAATTCTGATTCTTTGACACCGGGCTAGCTTACCCTGGAGGGACTGCCCCTCCCAGGTTAGTTAATTCCTAGAGAGAGCAAATAAAACCAAATGACCCAGAACCCACAATCCCAACCACCCTCTTTATCACAGTCCTTACTCCTCTTCTTCTCCCTCCCCACCATCCTCCTATCCTAACCACCCCAGGGTCACAGCACCAGGTCACCAGGGGCTGCCCCTACACTCCAGAGCCCTGGGAAATTATTCAAACTAGCCAATCCTAAACCTGTTTACGGTGCCTCACCTTTTTCTTCCCAAGATCACGGTAGAGACTTCAGCCCACTAGTTCCCTTTCTCTCTATGCCTGAGATCGACCTCTGTGTCTTCTGTGGCCTGAGTGGTGCGGCACACTCCTTTTAGGAATTGTAAGAAACTTCTCTTTTCAAGACAACGGTCTCCTGATCTGTTGGCCCTATTGAATCTTGAGTTTTTCTATTATTACACTGTATTTTAAAGCACAGTCTAAGGAAAATACCAGGGTTTTTTTGGTGCTACTGAAGTTAATATACAAAAATAATCAAGTGGTTATTATGAAGAGAACCATGAAAATTCTGGCAAATGAAAATGTAGGTAGGGTAGTGGGGAGGAAGATAGAGTGGCTGCTGGAAGGTGGGGAGGCAGAGATGGCAGTGAGTTATGAAATGGTTTATGGGTGTAGTGGGTGTAAATTTCAGTCCAAAGCACTCAAGTGTGAAAGAAATATTTATTTTTAGTAATTCGACTTCAGTCACGTCAGGGCCTCATGGCCCACAGCCATCCTCCCCCACCCTGCTCTAAGAATCGTGGGGCTCATCTAATACCCAGGTGTAAGGGTGGGCTTCTGATTCTTGGTGGCTCATCTATCCACCCTGCATCCTTGGTTGAGGCTGATGCAGCTTTTGGGACATAACCCCCTCCTGGGTCACCTCCCAGGCAAGAAAATGTCCGTGACGTTTAGATTGCTATATGCCATGTGGAAGTGGACTCTTCAGGGGTGAACTCAGAGGAGCATGCCAAACAGGAGCACAAGGACACAGGCCCTGGAAGATGAGGGGTGGGTGACATCTGGGAACGCAGACACTCAGTTGAGTGGGGGAGGGCAATGGGAATTAACTGTGAACATTCTGAGTAGTGACAGATGCCCATACAGGGTATTGTAGGAGTGCTGGGAGGGAGAGCAGTTTCACAGAAGAGGGGTCTTTTGAGCTAGATCTTGAAGGATATAGCTGATTTCATATGGCAAAAATTGGTAGGTGTGCACAGGGCACTGCAGTAGAAACAGCATGAGCAAAACTCAGGCTAAGGTGAAATCAGATCCGATTTCCTGAGCCCACCTTCATCAGTGGAGGGAGGGAGGCAATTCCCAGGAAACTGCTGGGACCAGGGCATGAGCCATGTGGCTGTTGATTAACCATTCCACAGACCACAGGTCATTTTAGTGACTGCTGGATACAAAGTACAAAATTGTGGATGATGCCATCTCTGTGGATATTTCCAGGCCTGAGTCAAAATTTAGAATGTTTCCTTCAAACTTTGAAACTGAAGATCCAGGGGTTTCTGGGTGTGCCTTTTTTCTGCTCCCTAATCGGAGTAAATTTACAACCTGGATTTACCATGGGTTCACTGACTGGCTAGCCCCTCTCCTGGAAAAGGCCTTAGAAGGGACAGAAGATCCTACGATAATCCAGTGGAAGCCAGAGGTGTAGACAGCGCTGCTTGTCAGATCTGAATCTAAGCAAGGTATACTTTTGCTTGCACCTCATCAATGGGGAGAATTCATAGGATCTTCAATTTCCTTTATCCACATTACTCCATTAGTCACATTAGCAGCAGCAAATGCAACCAGGAAACACCAGATGCTTCAGACTTCTTTCTGTATACATTTCACTTTCCAACGCAGGCAGCAGAGTTTCTCAGTCATAATTCCCATCTAGAATTTAACTGGTTTCCAACTTTCTTTAATGCGTTCAAATGAAATGCTACCCTAGTCACTCTGAATTTCCATTTGTTTCAGTCACCTGGCACTTCCACACGGGAATGCACTGCTCCCTGCTGCCTAGTGAAGAGTCTTGCAAATAGTAAAGGAACAAAAACATTTTTGGAATCCGTATTTTCATTTTCCTTTGGGGTTCAAAAGTCCTACTACTTCTTTGTAACAGAGTTGAGACCTTTTTTCCTAAGGAAAATATACTCACTTCACATGATAAACGGAGCTACTTCAAAGGTGCATGTGTTAAAAAACCAAAGAAGGTATCCACTGAGTTATTTCTAACCATCATGAATTCTCATTCAACTATTACTTAGTGAACCCCTGCAGAGCAGGTGGCTGTATAAAGAAGGAAAAACAGTGGCGCCTGGCTGGCTCAGCCGGAAGAGCATGTGACTCCTGATCTCAGAGTCATGAGTTCAAGCCTCATGCTGGGTGTAGAGATTACTTAAAAATAACTTAAAAAATAACTTAAAAAAAATAAGGTAAGTAAAATAACTTAAAAAAAAAAAGGTAAGTAAAAACACACAACCCCTGTTTTCCAGGAGATGACTTATCTACTTGGGGAAGTAAGACCCATTTATTTAAAACATGAAGCCACACTGCTCAAGGCAGGATGTAATGCAGTCAGTGTCTCCTCCAAAGTCATATATTCCTAAAACACAGTCGCATCAGCATGCCTTCTATAGGCCAGGCATTGGGCTTGGAGTTTCAGGGTAGCATTCTGAATTCCCAAACAATCTCATGATGTAGGAAAGCTTTTAGAAAGAATATGAGTAGAGGAACTAACCCAAGAAGTCATTTCCCACCCCAGATTTAGTTTTCCTAAATCAAGAAAGTAACCCAAATCTTTCAAAGTTCAGTTTTTATGAGACACTTGAGTATTCAACATACCAGGATCACATAAGAGTGTTCATTAAATCAACTAGGAGGTGCAAAATGTTGTATCATGGTAAATTTGACTATCAACCAGTAGATTTATCTTAGAGGGGCTTCTTCAATATCTTATCCTTCTAAGGGAAGATTCTTAGAAGGAAACCAATTTCAAGATTACTGTTACAAAATAGGTGGTCAATGGACAGCGTCATCAAAGTGCTCCTAGACTAATCGGGTCTTCATATGCTCAGACTGACCTCTGCTGGATAGTCTACTAATGTGTTAACATGTTTGTTTTTTTCCTCTTGAGCTAAATGTGGCTAGGGAACAAGCATTTTCCCCAAATTATATCTAGTATTTAGATTTACATAGTTCAGTTCACAGATATTCATCAAACCTTCTACACTACTTTACAGCAAAACCTTGCATTGCACTTGGCTGCCAGAGGCAACTATCCATGGGTAGAGTAGGACACTGACAAGGTTACACGAGCTACCCACTCTCAACACTGTTTTTGATATTCTCTATGCTTTTATGCAGCCCAGGCCCTCTAGTGTGTACCTCAGAAGTATGTAAGTGTGTTTGCCATGTAGGCCCAATTTCAGGGGCTCACTGGGTAAAACCACAGCTCCCCGCAAGTGTCTTGACATCTCAAAGCTGGACTCCACTCTGTAGAAGTCACTTATGCCCCTAAATAGCCAATGGAGACAAGTCTTATGTGTATATTGCAAACTAGTATTATATTGTGATTATTCCTCCAGTTATATATACTCTTTTTTTAGAGAAAGAGCAAGCATGGCAGGGGCAGAGGGAGAAGGAGAAAGAATCTTGAGCAGGCTCCACACTGGGTAACACGGGACTCGATCCCGTGCCCATGAGATCATGACCTGAACCGAAATAAAAAGTCAGATGCTTACCGACTAAGCCACCCAGGTATCCCTATACATACTCATTAACACAATTTTTATTTTATGAGGTCAATAGGTGATAACATATGTAGCCAATGTCTTATTATTAAACATTGGCACTGTTTCTAAATTGTGCTGAATGGCCCTATATATAAATATTTGACAAAATATTTTATTATTTCTTTAGGACACACTCTCTAAATGGGCTCCCTGGGTCAAAAGGTATAGTGTATGAACATTTTTTTAAAATTTTATTTATTTATTTTGAGAGACAAAGCAAGTGGGGAGGGGCAGAAAGAGGGAGAGGGAGAGAATTCCAAGCAGGCTCCACGCTGTCAGTGCAGAGCCCAATGTGGGGCTCGAACTCATGAAACCATGAGATCATGACCTGAGCTGAAACCAAGAGTCAGACACTTAATCGACTGAGCCACGCAAGTCTCAGTATGAACATTTTTAAGATTCCAAATACAAGCACTGCTAGGATTACTCTATGAAAATGTACCAATTTCATCTTCCACCATAACACAGCAGTTCCGTCTTCATTTTACCCTCACCCTCATTGAGAATTATAATTTTGAAAGTGCTCTGCCAAGTGGATAGGCACAAATAACGGCTTGCAGTCTAACTTATATATTCACATTTATTCATACTCATTTTATTGTATTTTTTCCATTGATTATACGCTCATGCCCTTTGCTCATTTTTCTACTAGTGTGTTAATATTTTTCTTATTTATAAGAGTTCTTTATATAGCAAAAGACTGTTGCCTCTGCTGGTCTCAATGTGGTACACATAAACTAAGGTTGCTAATCTAAACATACCCTGAAATTATCAGTTTAGGTATGGCATGACTTCTCCTTTGGCTCAGTAAGTTCTCTCCAGAAAAACAAAACAAAACCCCAATTCATAAAGTATAGAACAAGCCCCATTAAATACTAGGGGGGGGGGTCTAAGGTACAAAGTGATCAACAGATAAACTACAAAGTAGAAATAGCCTATATACTCCAACTTACTGAACATGCTTCTACATTAGAAAATTCTTGGGAGATTTTTTTCTCCGAAGATGTTTTTTAAAAAACACGTGACTTTAAGAATGGATTTATGTGAAAGAAGACTGATGTGTAACTCAGCAGTTAGGCAGTTACAATGCTATTATTTAATAAAACTCTTTTTTCTTTCATCTGCCAATTGTTCTCTCTGTGGTAGAATACTGGTAACTTTTTCTGGTTTTAGTCACAGTCAATTCCTTTACTATAAGATGTCATTTGGAAATGTTTTTTATTTTTCTTTGTACAATAATTTTAACATTTTAGTATTTTGCTGTGGAAAATAAAATTCCATCTTACAGGAAAGAAAACTCCTCACGACCATTCCTGGACATCTTTATATCTTAGAGCGTGTCAGCCAGTGAAAATCCTAGAAAAAGAAAAGACAACAAACATTCAGTGAAAGAAGTAATTGTCTCAAACTATCCTCCTTTGCTTGCTCTAAAATCTAAAAGTCCCATTATAACCACATTTACCACAATGGTGGTAAATGAAGTTTGTCGTTAGTCTTGTGCTTTTCCCAAAAAGAAGCTAAAAACTCACAGTGAATCTTGTGGTCTTGTCCTATAACTATTATCAAGTAATCAGGGCACAAAAAACTAGAGTCCGAGAGAACCAGAAGTTGAGTCAAAAGAAGAAAGAAGAGGGGGAGTATCCAAATCCAAAAAGAAGCTGGGTAGGAAGAGCAGTGCACACAAGCCAAGCCTTTCCCAGGATTCATACTATCCCACACATGTGGCCTGCACAGAGGTGACTGCAGAGATTAGGTCCTCTCTATAGTATAGCAGGAAGTGGTCAGTTTACATCGCAAATCAATGACCAAATGGCTGACGGACACACAGACAATCAATGAAAATGAACAGCCTGGAAACATTATGTGTGGAATTTACTGGAATGAGGATAACTCATGTTTAAGTGATAGATTCAAGAAATATAAGGATGATCCTTATGGAGTTATCAAAGAAGAGATAAGAACCTAAATTTCTCCAGCAATACCCCCCAAAATTCATAGAGAACTTGGAGAAGAGATCATTAGAAACCTGAACTCACTAGCGAGAGGGGACAATTCATTAGGGCTTTACTGTGACAAACATGGTTTCAAGACTACTTTGTGTGGTTCTGAATATATCTATTAAATCCATCCAATCTAATGTGTCATTTAAGGCCAATGTTTCCTTCTTGATTTTCTGTCTGGATTATCTATCTATCCATTGATGTAAGTGGTTTATTAAAGTCCCCTACTATTTTTTGTAGTGCTATTTCTCCCTTTAGGTCTGTTAATATTTGCTTTATATATTTAGGTGCTCCTACGTTGTGTGCATAAATATTCACAAATGTCATACCCTCTTGTTGGATTAACCCCTTTACTACTATGTTGTGTCCTTCTTTGTCTCTTATTAAAATGCTTGTTTTAAAGTCTATTGTGTCTCCATCCCCAAAGGCAAGGGAATTAAAAGCAAAAATGAATTACTGGGACCTTATGAAGATAAAAAGCTTCTGCACAGCAAAGGAAACAACCAACAAAACTAAAAGGCAACCAACGGAATGGGAAAAGATATTTGCAAATGACATATCGGACAAAGGGCTAGTATCCAAAATCTATAAAGAGCTCACCAAAGTCCACACCCGAAAAACAAATAACCCAGTGAAGAAATGGGCAGAAAACATGAATAGACACTTCTCTAAAGAAGACATCCGGATGGCCAACAGGCACATGAAAAGATGCTCAACATCGCTCCTTATTAGGGAAATACAAATCAAAACCACACTCAGATATCACCTCACGCCAGTCAGAGTGGCCAAAATGAACAAATCAGGAGACTATAGATGCTGGAGAGGATGTGGAGAAATGGGAACCCTCTTGCACTGTTGGTGGAAATGCAAATTGGTGCAGCCACTCTGGAAAACAGTGTGGAGGTTCCTCAGAAAATTAAAAATAGACCTACCCTATGACCCAGCAATAGCACTGCTAGGAATTTACCCAAGGGATACAGGAGTACTGATGCATAGGGGCACTTGTACCCCAATGTTTATAGCAGCACTCTCAACAATAGCCAAATTGTGGAAAGAGCCTAAATGTCCATCCACTGATGAATGGATAAAGAAATTGTGGTTTATATACACTATGGAATACTACATGGCAATGAGAAAAAATGAAATATGGCCTTTTGTAGCAACGTGGATGGAACTGGAGAGTGTGATGCTAAGTGAAATAAGCCATACAGAGAAAGACAGATACCATATGGTTTCACTCTTATGTGGATCCTGAGAAACTGAACAGGAACCCATGGGGGAGGGGAAGGAAAAAAAAAAAAAAAGAGGTTAGAGTGGGAGACAGCCAAAGCATAAGAGACTCTTAAAAAGTGAGAACAAGGGGCGCCTGGGTGGCGCAGTCGGTTAAGCGTCCGACTTCAGCCAGGTCATGATCTCGCGGTCCGTGAGTTCGAGCCCCGCGTCAGGCTCTGGGCTGATGGCTCGGAGCCTGGAGCCTGTTTCCGATTCTGTGTCTCCCTCTCTCTCTGCCCCTCCCCCGTTCATGCTCTGTCTCTCTCTGTCCCAAAAATAAATAAACGTTAAAAAAAAAAAAAGAGAAAAAAAGTTAGAACAAACTGAGGGTTGATGGGGGGGGGGAGGGAGGGGAAGGTGGGTGATGGGTATTGAGGAGGGCACCTTTTGGGATGAGCACTGGGTGTTGTATGGAAACCAATTTGACAATAAATTTCATATATTGAATGAATGAATAAATAAATAAATAAATACATGAAGGGCAAAAAAAAAATAAATTCTTTATCACATTAAAAAAAAATAAAGTCTACTGTGTCTCAATGGAGTACTATGTGGCAATGAGAAAGAATGAAATATGGCCCTTCGTAGCAATGTGGACAGAACTGGAGAGTGTGATGCTAAGTGAAATAAGCCATACAGAGAAAGACAGATACCATATGTTTTCACTCTTATGTGGATCCTGAGAAACTTAACAGGAACCCATGGGGGAGGGGAAGGAAAAAAAAAGAGAGAGGTTAGAGTGGGAGAGAGCCAAAGCATAAGAGACTCTTAAAAAATGAGAACAAACTGAGGGCTGATGGGGGGTGGGAGGGAGGGGTGGGTAATGGGTATTGAAGAGGGCATCTTTTGGGATGAGCACTGGGTGTTGTATGGAAACCAATTTGACAATAAATTTCATATATTTAAAAAAAAAATAAGAATTTGTAGATTAAAAAAATACAATTCCTAAAAAAAATAAAAAATAAATAAAGTCTATTGTGTCTGATATAAACATAGCTATCCCAGCTTTCTTTTGGTTTCCATTTGCATGGAATATCTTTTTCCATCCCTTCACTTTCAGACTGTGTGTCCTTACATCTGAGGTGAGTCTCCTGTAGACAGCATATAGTGGGTCTTGTTTTCTTATCCATTCAGCCACTCCTCTGATTGGAGCGTTTAGTCCATTTACATTTAAAGTAATTACAGATAAGTATGTACTTATTGTCATTTTGTTCATTGTTTCCTGGCTATTTTGTAGTTCTGTTCCTTACACCAAAGTCTCTGATATCTGTTTTTATAGAACATAATTTCAGTAGAACTTTATATATCTTATAGTTTCTAAATCAGTTAATTTACTTTTCACTGATTGTCCAGGCATCCACTTGCCCACTGGTCTACTACCTTATTCAAAAAAGAAAATGATCTCATGGCATATATATGTATAAAGAACCAACACAGAAACTTCTTGAAAAAATGATCTGCTCTGAAAACAGTGACTGATACACAATGTGTAAGCATGGAAGATAGATATATCAGAGAGGACCACTGGCAGGACCAGGATCAGAGCACAAAATTAAGTATGAAAAGCAACTTAATCTGAGATGGGAGAGGATTATGCTACACACCTTATCATTTATTTTACAGCTGTAATCTACACTATAGTTTTGCTATGGAGGCCAAAGTAACCAATTTTGAATGTAAGTGCACAAATCTTCCTGTTATGGTCTCATCCTCCCACTCTGTCTCCCACTCCCATTCTGCCTTTCAGCCACTGCGGACTTCTTTCAGTTCCTCAGACCTGCCATGCTCCTTGCTGCCACAGAGCCTTTGCACACCTCTTCCCTAGCCTCTTTGCTTGAGACTGTCCCTACTTATCTTTTGGATCTCAGCTGAAGCATCAATCAGTTCCTCTGAGAAGCCTTCCCCTGTGACCCCAATACAGATCAGATTCCTTGATGGTATATTTGTTCAGAACTGGGTGCCTTTCCTTCAGAGCAATTGCCTCAGTCTGTTGTGATGCATTCAGTTGTGAGGTGACTAGGCTGTTCCTCTCCCCTAATGAACTGTAAGCCATTAGGTGAGGCTGAGTCCAGGTTTGCTCATCATGCTATTCTTAGCAAGTAACACAACATACCTAACACACATCTCAACAAATATTTATTGAAAAAACCCAAGAAAGTGCCAAACTCAGAAACGGTTTAGAAAAAAGTGTTCTATTTGGTAGATACTTCTAGGGATAGGATGGGAGATGCATTTCTGATTTCTGCTTGGCAACTGAATTTACCTGGGCTTTCCGCGTGGCTTGTGGCTCAATCATGATATTGATAAGAGAAGGTGCAGTTGTGTCTGCCAAACTCTCCCTCAGTGATTTTTGGAGCTCTTCCGGTGTTTGTACGAAATACCCTTTGCCTCCAAACGCAGTCATAACCTGCTCGTAATGTGAGTTTGGCAAAAGACAGACGGGAGGGGCCCTAAAAAAGGTCATAAGTCAATAGAAAAAAAGCCATTCTCTGAAATAATCTGTGGAAAAATTTAGGCTGAACTGAAAGGTGTACATTTATGTTCAACACCTAAAGATGCCAGTACACTAAACTTTCCATATATTTTTTGTTGTCTATACAGCAATGTCTAACAGGACTTTTTGTGATGAAAGAAATGTTTTATATTTACATTTAAATATATATATTTATGTATACATTATCCAATATGACAGTCACTAGCAACCTGTTGCTGTGAGCACTTGAAACGTGACTAGTTAAAATAAGAACGATTTTTAAATTTAATTTAAATAGCCACACATGGCTAGTAGCTACTAGCTACTACACCATCAGCTACTATGAATCCAAAAGAAAAAGAAGAAAAGAGGAATGGTTACTGCAAAACACCAAGTAACAACAAAATGAGAAACGGAGTCAGTGAGGCAGAAGCAAACATACTCACATCCCATTCCACCCCTAGGCTGACTCCCACACGGCTAGCTACGATACTGTCACAGTTTCACTCTGCGACCAGATAATCAAGAATTAGTTAAGTAATAAAAAGAAGGAAGATCTCTGGACCATAAATAATGTGTTAACATCCATTTCCTCCATGGTGTAGTAGGAACAGAAGGACTGGAAGCATTTTGCAATAAGCCCTTTCATTAACAAAGCTTGCACATCAATCTTAATTGTCTGAGTCTTTAGTGGCTCCCTGATCATAAATTATTTATTGAAGCACCCCATCATGGGCAGTTGTACAAAGAGGGGCCATGCATATGGGGTTCCTGCCCTTTAGGGGGGCTGAAAATATAAATAAACAATATTCACACTACAGAAGCACATTATAATACAATATACATAATACATATTGTATATATTGTATATATATATATACAATAATATAATATAATAATATTTTAATGTTATAATAGATGAGAGAAAATAAATACATGAGATGTATTTAAATAGATGAGAGAATTAAGTAGATGAGAGAAAATAAATACATACTGTTAAAATAGATGAGAGAAAATAAATACATACTGTTCTGGGTTACTTACACTGCAGTAGCATCTCCAAATTTTAACATTTCCTTCCAACTATCCACATCAAAACCTTGGTAAATTCCATTATTATTCACCACCAAAAGAATGATGGGCAAGTTGTACCTAAAATTGAAAGCAAAATATAAAGGAAATCATTCTTCATTCTAAAGCACTTTATTATCTTCAGGCTGAAACTTTAACTTAAAAATGGATAGTTTTCTAGAAATAACCTTTTTTGTAATATTAGGGTAAGACTAAAACTTAAACATTTGTTACCTAAAAAGGAACATCAAATCATTAATGGAAATACGGAGTCAGAAAGGATGTAAGAACACCAGGTGCTAACATTATGCATCTATGGACCTCACTGTGCTTTTCCGAACCTTGGTTTTCATAGATCCAGGTGCTAAGAAGGACACCTTCCACCTTCCATATTTAATACCACTTCTAGGTGGTGCCTAAGAGTACTATTTGAAAAGTATCTTTTTATTTCCTGAACTCCTCACAGACAAGCAGTATTTGCTAGATGCTGTGGGAAGCATACAAGTGACTAGCATACATTCTCTTCTCTCAAACCACTTTGCTCCAAGTTAGAAAAGCATTATATGGGGATGCCTGAGTGGCTCAGTTGGTTAAGCGTCCGACTTCGGCTCAGGTCATGATCTCACAGTTCGTGACTTTGAGCCCCACATTGGGCTCTGTGCTGACAGTCAGAGACTGAAGCCTGCCTCAGATTCTGGGTCTCCCTTTCTCTCTGCCCCTCCCCCACTCTCTGTCTCTCTCAAAAATAAAAACATTAAAAAAATTAAAAAAATAAAAGCATTGTATAATAGAGAAAGAGAGTATTTAATAATGTGCTAAACAGTACTGTAAAGATGAAAGGATGATTAAATTTTACTAACGACTGACAAAAGAACATGGGCTTTGTTTTGTACACACATAATTTCTGAGACCAGGTGTAAAAACAAAACTACACGGCACACTGTTATGTAATAGGACTGTGGAAACTACTTGCGCTCCATGCTCAACGGGAATCATGACTCTCTAGAAGGCTGGCTTTTCCATAAATCATCTTTTTGGTGTATACCACTCGGGTTGTCAATACAGACATTCTAACAAGTACATTTTTCCATCTGATCTTGAAAGTGTTGTATACCAAAGCTCTGAAAGCCCCCAAAACATGATTTACAAAGGGTCTAATAAGAGTCCTGGCTAAGAATAAAGAAGGACTTTACTACAGTTTAAATAATTAGGGAGAAAAAAGTCCCCATCCTTCTATAGCAGGATCTACAGCTCGTGAGTTTTTCCCTATAAACAACCCTCACAACTATAAACATAATCTGAACAGCTCACGTTCAATGAACAATCGTCTCGAGCTTTACCTAGATTACCTCATTCAATCCTCACTACCGTCCTCTAAGGTAGGAACTATTACGATTCCTCTCCCTATTTTAGAGGAGACAGCAGCTTAGTAAAGTAACTTAACCCACATCACCTGGCTCTGCTGTGGTCAACCGGCATTTAAATCCAGACCATGGACCCAGAGGCTGTGCTCTTACCCACAAAGCTTTGCTGTCTCCCTGCCAAAAACAAGCTTTTCTCAGACTAGAACTTTTTGCAGTGATCTCAAAACCACTCCTCACAGTTTTGCAGGTTTGGGGCATGTAGTAAAGAGGTCATGAACACACTGTCCTAGATGAGAAAGACCCCGGGGTTATTTCACACTAGTATTCTCAGGACACAGCACAGAGTGTGTACAGGGCATTTGGCACATGGTGAACACTGAGTAAGCATCTGTTAGGCAAGTGAGTCTTTATTCTTTATCTTTTGGAGAAAGAAATGAATGCTGTTGTACCTACAGATGGTTTCCACTTCCATGCCAGAAAACCCAAATGCACTGTCTCCTTCCACACAGATGACCCGCTGACCTGTGTTTCTAGCTTTAGCCAGTATAGCGGCTGCAATGGCAAAGCCCAAACCAACTCCCATCGTTCCAAAAGTACCAGCATCAAGCCTGTTGGGGGAAAAAGCTAAAATGAAACCCTCTGGGGCACGTTGCAGATGGTGGGCGGGCACAAATCTAGTCATACTCATGTGTAAAATAGAGAACAATAAAAACATTCTCTGTCTTTAATATAAAGTTTTTAGACTGTGAGGAACCGACTAGTCAAGGATAAGCGGTATGAGAGGAAAAAGTCTCTCGTGATGGCTTGGAAAACTGTGAATATATCCTTGGAACGGTAAGTATACAAATTATCACATGACCTCAAAGACATATCAAACATAAAAACTCTGCCAAATCTCACCTAAGAATACTTTTATGGAATATATCCTTATGCACTGAACATGTATAATCCTCAAATGTTTTATGAGCCTGCATTACTGTAGTTTCAAAGTTAACACATTAAAATTACTTTTCTGGAAGCCTTACCTGTGACGAGGGAGGTAGTTCTGAAGCACAGTGCGTCCAATATCCATAGTATTTGCTCCTTCACTTACTACAAAACAGTCTCTGGGTAGCTGTTCTTGAACATGATAGAATACTGTGTAATAATTCATAGGCAGAGATTTTTGGGAAGCTAATTCCTAAAGTATTTGAGGGAAATATAATCAAATTAGGTTGAGATACGGTGAAAAATGAGGAATGTCAATAAGCTACTACCAAACTCATTTGGAAAGAGGCTACAAGCTACAAAGTTCCCAAATGGCCTCTCTTAGAAGCTAATGGATCTGTGGACAGCCCTGTGGGACAGGCTAAGAAAAATGGGTTCCACAGTCCCAGTCTGGGACACAATCAAATAATCTAGGGAATATCTTTCTTCTTGGAGATCCACAATACACATTAGCATCCTAAAGTCAGACAAGTCGTATGGTAAAGATAGCTGGAAACATTGGGTTAAACAAAACTAAACAGTCTTATTTGAGCACTTTTATGAATACACTGCCTTAGAAAGTAAAAATTTTATTCTAAAATACTTTAATCTGAAATACGCCCTGAATCTTAAAATAAAAATGAAGTCAGGATTTTAGAAAATCTGAAAATCTGGTTCTTCTCCACATGCATTAGAGAGTAAAGGAGATACGCTTCACCCACTAAAGAGTCTTCGAATGGAGCAAGATAAGTGCCTTTGTCTAGCCACATGCCTCTTAGAGCAGAGAGAAAGCCACATGGGGCTTTAGCAGCAACAGTCCCAAGGGCTTCCGGCATTGCCTCTTCACCTGTGCTGTTTTGGCCTGTTGGAGGTTATACCTAAGATGGATGAGGCACCGTCCTACACTCCTGCACCAGAGAAGAGAGGCAAGTTCCTCCCATCTTAAACTAGTATGATTCCTAGGAAAAAGAAGGGATTAATCATGGCACCACTTAGGAAAATAGAATTGACGCTGTCTCTTGATAGAAATAGCCACTGATTAATATTCCAATAAAACATAGAATTATGTATAGTTAATTCTGCTGTTTTTGAAAATGTGAATTTATTCCAAGACATCTGACATATAAAGGAATAATATGAGCACAATGCAAATTTCACATTTGCTCCTGTAGGATTCCGTCAGTGAGAAACACTACATGAACACAGGAAACTGCACCCAGCTGAACCAAGATGCACAGGAATACACAAAACATCAGAAAAAAATCATGAACAACCTTTCTCACAATCAAAGAAAAAAATTCTACCTATATACGAGGACCCTAAATAGAAATCACCACATCCTACAGAGGTGGTTCATTTCACTGCTAGTAGTGGATGGTCTGGTAGTTTCACACATTACTATAGTTTCCAAAGCCTTTACATATCAGGCAAACCCATGAATGCAGATGAGGAAGTCACAAAATAATTTTCTGTGGTGACACAAAAGTTAATTTAAAAAGGCTATAAGTGGTCTCACAAAAAAAAAAAAAAAAAAAAAAAAGAAAGAAAGAAAAAAAAGAAAAGAAAAGAAAAGTGAGGTGATGGATGTGTTAGTGAACTAGATGGGGGCAATCCTTCCACAGTGTATATGCATTATCAAATCATCGTGATATACCTTTGAATATCTTACAATTTTAACTGTCAATTATACCTCAACAAAGCTGACATTTTTTTAAAAAAAGGCTATACATTGGAACACATTTTCAATTTTGATGAAACACTTATTATACATGCATGCCTTGAAGGACTTATATCTTAAGGGTAGAAAAAATGCCCCAGTTTAAGATTCCAAAAGATTTCTTAATTGTGATTTGGTGCCAAGGTCAAACTGAGGACAGTGAGCCCTACCCATTCACATGGGCTCTTACAACTAACTTTCTGTCCAATGTCAGATCAGCCTCCTTCCACCATGTCACGCTAACTCACAAACTGAGATCCTCCCAATGCCCACTTCCACAAGAGACTTCAGGTCTTTTTCAAGGAAAAGTACTATATTTATTGAAGTACATATGTTTTAACCATTTAACATGTGTAGAATTTCGCCACCATTTTTATTAGGCTCCTATCTTAATGTTTCACAAAGTTGGCAGCTGTGCCTCTAAACCTTTTCCCCCATAAATCCCACGGTTTTTACATAGTGTGGTGATTTAGGAATGCGTAGGTCATGTTATGACAGAGCTACTGGAACCATGGGCCTGAAGTGTTTCTAGATTTCTGTGAGTCTCGTATTACCTTGGATGTGGCTTCATTGCTCTTCATTTTTTCTCTCAGAGTTTTCCACCAGCTGCTCTCTGGAGGATACTGCCATGGCGTTTTATCAAATTGTTCTAAAAGCTAAAAAACCACAGACTTTTACTTTTTGAAAATAAGCTTATGTCATATTAACACAACAATATCTTGTTAAAGAAGATGATACTGCTATGCTATCCTGCCCTTCTCATCACTCCTACTGTCTGCACTCTAGGCAGCTAACAACTGGTAGAAAATAAATAGGCAACACGGAAAGCGTTCTTTTGGGTCAGTGTGGACTTCTGCCAAATGGGATTTCCACAGAACACAAGGGAAATGCTACCTCACCTCACAGGCAGGGGCTTTTATGTCCTCCTCAGCTTTTGACACTAGAAAGAAAATCACCCCCACCGTAGAATCCTTGCGGAAAGGACAAGAGCCCCAAATATCCAGGGACTTCCGAGATACAAACCAAATGTTCCAGGATGTTCTAATATGTGATTGGGGATTGCTTCCTAATATTATGTAGTCATGATAACAACACCAATTTGTATCCAATATCAAGTGAAAGATGTCACTATACTTTATCTCCTGATATAGTGAACTGTATAAATTACATACAAATAATGAGTACCATTTGAAGAGTAAATAAATCTCTTTATTGCCTAGTGAAATACTAAGTTAGGTTTTTCCAGTACATTAAGACATTTCTTGGCTGTAAGTTCAGTTACTCTGGAAGCTGTATTATAATTTTTCAGAGAGCTGAATCCTATTTAGTATATCACTGTTTGCCTACTGACTGCCTTTAAGTCTTCATCGCCTTCCAAAATGATTAACTTACTTGCTTAAAAATGATTTATATATAAGGAGTTGGATTTACTGAGTTCCAGAGTTCTTTTCAAGACTAGCTTTCCATCATAAATTTTGCTTAAAATAGATATTAATAAGCCTGTCATCAAGTGAATCAAGGCTGAGACATTTTTAACAACAGACTATTGCTTAAAGACCAATCCATATAAAGCCTAGGTAAAAGCTCTTACCTGTTTAGTGACAGCATTTATGTCTCCTAGCAAAGTCACAGCAGGCTTTACATTATTCCCCAATTCTTCTGCACAGATATCAACCTAAAAGAGATAAAGCTTAAGAACAAGCCATGCTTATTCTTAAAAATCTTTAAGAAGTCAGTTAACACTGGGGCGCCTGGGTGGCTCAGTTGGTTAAGCGTCTCACTTCAGCTTAGGTCACGATCTCGCGGTTCATGAGATCGAGCCTTGGATCGGGCTCTGTGCTGACAGCTCAGAGCCTGGAGCCTGCTTCAGATTCTGTGTCTCCCTCTCTCTCTGCCCCTCCCCTGCTCACGCTGTCTCTCTCTCTCAAAAATAAATATTAAAAAAAAGTTTTTTAATAAAAATAAAAAAGAAGTCAAGTAATACTGAATAAATGAACTGTGTATATGTAACAAATGATAAAGATGATTTTATATCCAAGATATTTCCTAATAAAAGTAAAAATCCATAGAACTGTAAGTATCACAGCAAGTACAGAAACCTCATCATCTTCCTTCATTTTAATGTCTACTCTGTAGATTTGGGTATTGTTCTATTATACCCACAGGAATCCATCTGACTTGATCAATTATAGTTTTGAATCTCATCAATAATAAAGTTGTTTAATTACACTGTAGTTCCCTACTTAGAGCAGCTCTCAAATGTGAACTATCAGAATCACTTGGTAGCCTTGTTAAACCACAGAATGCAAGAGTCTACTTCAGAGTTTCCGACCTCAGCAGCTCTGAATGAGGCCCCAAAATGTGGTTTTCTAACAGGTTTCCCAGGTGATGCTGATGCTGTTGGTCCGGGGACCACACTTTGCGAACTACTACTCTCTAGGGTATAGCATGATTACTTTCCACTTACCCAGAGGCCCCATTTCTGAATGGCCATGGGCAAGTGAAAATAGCTGTGCAAGGAGTTGTAATTTAGCCACCCTAAAGGGGATGCACTGTATTCTGTACTCAAGAGATATAATCAAGAGGCAGCAGCATCTTCCAGGGAAACCCCAGTCTTGCTTATTTGCAGTGTTAGTTCTTCCATAGCCCCAGGGGGAATGGGACTATTAGAAGTTGACTCCTTAAAAAGTAAAAAGGGAGAAGATAGCAATTGTAGCTGGGTCACCAAACACCATACACAATCTCTGGAGGACAAACAGGTTCACGTTGTACTATATAGGCAGTACTTTCCACACCAATAAGGAAACTGGCTTAGAAAGAGGATCATAATGATACATGAATCATTAGAGTGAGGTCAGAGTATATATTCCACTATTCAGTGACAGGTAAAAGCATTCAGAGATTCCTAATCAAAGGGTGTTGGAAAGATTTGGCATCTTGGGTGCCTGGCTAGCTCAGTCAGTGGAGCGTATGAATCTCGATCTTGGGGTTGTGGGTTCAAACCCTATGTTGTGTGTAGAAATACCTTTTTAAAAAAATCTTAAACAGAAAGATTTGGCATCTAAAAAAACAACTCATGGACACATGGAAGCTTGCTCATTAATGTCTTGTTAGCGCATATCTGCATTTGTGGCAGGGCCTGAGAGCTGCTATCTAATCTTCCCTCCTTCCTTAGGAATACGCCTTGAAGACTGTTTCCTAGTTCCCTTCATCCAGAGTGGGCAGTGAGACATAAGCAAAAGTTGTAGGGTGGGGCTTCGAGAGTTGGCCCTATTAATAAAACTACCATATCCCCCCTTTCCCAAGTCATCCTATTTCCTGCCTGGAATCATAACCTGATGGTTGGCACTCCAGCAGCCATTTTGGATGATGCAACCTTGATGGTGGAAACCAGGCACTAAGGATGGAGAAGAAAGATAGAAAAAGCCAGAATCCCTGATGACATTGAAAGTCTGCATTCTAGCCATGAACCACCTACTTCTGCACTTCACATTATGTAAGAGAAAAATAACCCCCTAAATCTTTTTAAAAAATAAAATAAAAAGAAAACTCAATCTCTAACAATGCCGAATGTTTTGTTCTAATCTACCATTGTACTCAAACCCCTTCTGTCTGCCTTTAAATATACTTGAACTATGAAGAAGAGGCAAATTATGCTTTTCAAACTATTTAAAACTTGGTTTTGAAAGGTTTTCTGGTTAGAAGTAAAGTGGCACATTATGTTTCATAGGCTTGAAAAGGCAGCTTACTTTGGTACCTGTAATTATGTTAGACGATAAAAACCTACAAAAGCCAAGAAGAAAGCGGAGCTGACAATAGCTGAGGACAATAAGTCACAGATAGCTCTGGTTTTAAATCTCGGCACTCTGAGTACCTGGATAAACTTCACATCTGGCTGGTATCTTGGAGGCAGTCCAAAATGCAAAATCCAATTTAATCGGGCACCAAATAACACAATTACATCAGCAAATTGCAAAGCCCTATTAAAAAGAAAAATCTGTTTAATACAAAAAGTATGTATCTATTATTTCTTATTTGAATTATTCTAAAATCATTTTTTAAATATTTATAAAAGTTCAAATGATTTGGAGGTTATTTTATTTTAGTTTTCTGAATCAGCTTCTAGAGTAAATTTGATCTTTCAAACCAAAATAATTTATGAAGCCATTCTATTTAAATAGTAATCTATAAGGTAAAATAAGTAGAAAAATATTATAAGACTATACCTATTTCATTGTTTATTATTTTTTATCATTAGAAAAATTATTATAAGTCTACTGTAGATAATGTGGAAGAATAGAAACAGTATAAAGAAAAAAAACCTCATGCAGTAATACTATCAACTTGAAAGCTATTGTCAGTAGTCTGGTATATTTTCATCTCTAGTCTTCTTTCTATGCAAGCATATTTTTACATAGTTGAGCTTATATGCTATAATACTGTCTCATGCACTTTTGCTTATTATTACATTTTCCTTATCATTAGGTTCTTAAAATTTTTATCATTTTTATGCTCTATTTATATTTTTTTAGTAATATCTATACCCAACGTAGGTCTTGAACACACAACCCTGAGATCAAGTTGCATGCTCTTCTGACTGAGCCAGCCAGGCACCCCTTAAATACAATTTTGAAAGGCTGCATATTTTGCAGAACACATATACCAAATTTATTAAATCTTTTAATTACTGGATAATCTGTTATTAATAGTACTGGGTTGCACATCTTTATGCTTAAATCTTTTATTTATGTTTACTTATTTTGAGAGAAAGTGAGCAGGGGAGGGGGAGAGGGAGAGGAGAGAGAACCCCAAGCAGGCTCCACGCTCAGTGGAGCCTGAGCCTGAGCCATTATCAAGAGTCGGATGTCTAACTGAGCCACACAGGCGCCCCTACACTTGAACATCTAATGCATGTTTCATACTGATTCCTAGAAGCAGGTATTTGTAAGACGATTGATTCATATTCCCAAAATGCTTTCAAAAAATTTACCAAATGTATTAATAGTTTTATTTTATATATCTTAATATCCTTGTCAATACAACGAATTTTTTTTAAATAATTTTTACTTTGACATGCACACTGATATTAAGTCATCTTTGCTTTGTTCTTACCTCATACACCTTTGCTTACTTTATGCTGTATCATTTGCTTCAGATGTTCTTATATGTAACTGTCTTTTTATTGATCCAATCAATAATGTTTCTACCTGTCTACAGAAGGATTTATATCATAATTGCTATGGGGTTCTTTTTTCACTTCTCATTTTTCTGCTTCTTGGCTGTTTCCCTTTTATCCTACATTTTTCTATAGGGGATCTATTCTTTTACTTTTGTCTTCTTCAGTGAGGATATCATACATGAAATAGCATTTTCATATACTGTATTGGTCCTGTGGGACCCAATTTAACAAACAGATAAAAACTGCAATTAGAAGAATAGATGTGCTTATTGATACTTGATAATATTGATTTGATTATTTATGACTGCTTGGAATCTTTTTTACCCTATTAACTTCTTTTTTCAAGATAAATATTCTTCATTGTTATTCTTTTTTTTTCTTTTTTAATTTACATCCAAGTTAGTTAGCATACAGTGCAATAATGATTTCAGGAATAGAATCCAGTGATTCATCCCCTACATATAACACCCAGTGCTCATCCCAACAAGTGTCCTCCCTAATGCCCCTTGCCCATTTAGCCTATCCCCCAACCACAACCCTCCAGCAACAGTTTGTTCTCTGATTTTAAGAGTCTCTTATGGTTTGCCCCCCTCCCTGTTTTTATATTATTTTTGCTTCACTTTCCTTCTGTTCATCTGTTTTGTATCCTAAATTCCACGAGTCATATATTTGTCTTTCTCTGACTAATTTCACTTAGTATAATGCGCTCTAGTTCCATCCATGTTGCAAATGGCAAGATTTCATTCTTTTTGATCAAGTAATATCCCATTGCATATATATACCACATCTTCTTTATCCATCAATGGACATTTGGGTTCTTTCCACATTTTGGCTATTGTCGATAGCTCTGCTATAAACATTAAGGTGCATGTGCCCCTTCAAAACAGCACTCCTGTATCCTTTGGATAAATACCTAGTAGTGCAATTGCTGGGTCATATGGTAGTTCTATTGTTAATTTAATATAATTTATTGTCAAGTTAACTAACATACAGCATATACAGTGTGCTCTTGGTTTCAGTGGTAGATTCCCGTGATTCATCACTTACATACAACACCCAGTACTCATCCCAGGAAGTGCCCTCCTCAATGCCCATCACCCATTTTCCCCTCTCCCCCCCGCCATCAACCCTCAGTTTGTTCTCTGTATTTAAGAGTCTCTTATGGGTTTGCCTCCTTCTCTGTTTGAAACTATTTTCCCCCTTCCCTTCCTCCATGGTCTTCTGTTAAGTTTCTCAAGTTCCACATATGAGTGAAAACATACGAGATCTTTTTCTGACTTAGTTCACTTAGCATAATACCCTCCAGTTCAATCCATGTTGTTGCAAATGGCAGGATTTCATTCTTTCTCATTGCCAAGTAGTATTCCATTGTATATATAAACCACGTCTTCTTTATCCATTCAGCAGTTGATGGATATTTGGGCTCTTTCCATGATTTGGCTATTGTTGAAAGTGCTGCTATAAACATTGGGGTACAAGTGCCCCTATGAATCAGCACTCCTGTATCCTTTGGATAAATTCCTAGTAGTGCTATTTCTGGGTTGTAGGTAGTTCTATTTTTAATTTTTTGAGGAACCTCCACACTGTTTTCCAGAGTATGGAAGTCCTGAAGTCCAGAATTATGATGCCTCCAGCTTTGGTTTTCTTTTTCAGGACTGTTTTGGCCATCCGGGGTCTTTTCTGGTTCCATACAAATTTTTAGGATTGTTTGTTCTAGCTCTGTGAAGAATACTGGTGTTATTCTGATAGGGATGCACCAAATATGTAGATTGCTTTGGATAGTATTGACATTTTAACAATATTTGTTCTTCCAATGCAGGAGCATGGAATATTTTTCCATTTTTGTGTGTGTGTCTTCTTCATTTTCTTTCATAAGCTTTCTATAGTTTTCAGCACATACATTTTTCACTTCTTTGGTTACGTTTATTCCTAGGTATTTTATGGGTTTTGGTGCAATTGTAAATGGGATCAATTCCTTGATCTCTCTTTCTGCTGCTTCATTATTGGTGTATAGAATAGAAATACAACCGATTTCTGTGCACTGATTTTATATCCTGCGACTTTGCTGAATTCACGGATCAGTTCTAGCAGTTTTTTGGTGGAATCTTTTGGGTTTCCCACATAGAGTATCATGTCATCTGCGAAGAGTGAAAGTTTGACTTTCTCCTTGTGGATCTGGATGCCTTTTATTTCTTTGTGTTGTCTGATTGCTGAGGCTAGGACTTCCAACAGTATGTTGAATAACAGTGGTGAGAGTGGACATCCTTGTCGTGTTCCTGACGTAAGGGGAAAAGGTCTCAGCTCTTTCCCATTGAGGATGATATTAGTTGCAGGTCTTTCATACATGGCTTTTATGATCTTGAGGTATAATCCTTCTATCCCTACTTTCTTGAGGGGTTTTATCAAGAAAGGATGCTGTATTTTGTCAAATGCTTTCTCTGCATCTATTGAGAGGATCATGCGGTTCTTGTCCTTTCTTTTATTAATGTGATGTATCACACTGATTGATTTGCAGTTATTGAACCAGCCCTGTATCCCAGGTATAAATCCCACTTGATCATGGCGAATAATTCTTTTAATGCACTGTTGGATCCAGTTGGCTAGTATTTTGTTGAGAATTTTTGCATCCATGTTCATCAGGGAAATTGGTCTGTAGTTCTCCTTTTTAGTGGGGTCTTTGTCTGGTTTTGGAATCAAGATAATGCTGGCCTCGTAGAATGAGTTTGGAAGTTTTCCTTCCATTTCTATTTTTTAGAACAGCTTCGAAAGAATAGGTGTTAACTCTTCTTTAAATGTTTGGTAGAGGGGCACCTGGGTGGCTTGGTTGGTTAAGCGTCCGACTTCGGCTCAGGTCATGATCTCATGGTCCGTGGGTTCGAGCCCTGCGTCAGGCTCTGTGCTGACAGCTCAGAGCCTGGAGCCTGTTTCAGATTCTGTGTCTCCCTCTCTCTCTGCTCCTCCCCTGTTCATGCTCTGTCTCTCTCTGTCTCAAAAATAAATAAATGTTAAAAAAAAAACATTAAAAAAAAAATAAATGTTTGGTAGAATTCCCCTGGAAAGCCATCTAGCCCTGGACTCTTGTTTTTTGGGAGATTTTTGACTACTGATTCAATTTCTTTAGTGGCTATGGGTCTGTTCAAATTCTCTATTTCTTCCTGTTTCAGTTTTGGTAGTTTATAGTTTTCTAGGAATTTTTCCATTTCTTCCAGATTGCCTAATTTATTGGCATATAATTACAATATTCTCTTATTATTGTTTGTATTTCTGCAGTGTTGGCTGTGATCTCTCCTCTTTCATTCTGGATTTTATTTATTTGGCTCTTCTCCTTTTTCTTTTTGATCAATCTGGCTAAAGGTTTATCAGTTTTGTTAATTCCTTCAAAGAACCAGCTCCTGGTTTCACTGATCTGTTCTACTGTTTGTTTTTTAAATTTCAATAGCATTGAGTCCATGGGGAGGGGACGGAAAAAAAAAAAAGAGGTTAGAGACTGAGAGAGCCAAAGCATAAGAAACTCTTAAAAACTGAGAACAAGCTGAGGGTTGATGGGGGAGGGAGGGTGAGTGATGGATATTGAGGAGGGCACCTTTTGGGATGAGCACTGGGTGTTGTATGGAAACCAATCTGACAATAAATTTCATATTAAAAATAAATTTCAATAGCATTGATTTCTGCTCTAATCTTTATTATTTCCCATCTTCTGGTGGTTTTGGGGATTTGCTGTTCTTTTTCCAACTCTTTAAGGTATAGTTTAGGTTGTGTATCTGAGACCTTTCTTCCTTCTTTAGGAAAGCCTGCATTGCTACATACTTCCCTCTTATGATGGCTTTTGCTGCATCCCAGAGGTTTTGGGCTGTCATGTTATCATTTTCATTGGCTTCCATGCACTTTTTAATTTCCTCTTTAATTTCTTGGTTAACTCATTCATTATTTAGTAGGATGTTCTTTAATCTCCAAGTATTTGTGGTCATTCCAAATTTTTTCTTGTGGTTGATTTTGGGTTTCATAGCATTGTGGTCTGAAAATATGCATGGTATGATCTGAGTCTTTCGTACCTGTCAAGGGCTGATTTGTGTCCCAGTATGTGATCTATTCTGGAGAATGTTCCATGTGTTTAATATTACCTTCTTAAACTTCTGATGGAATGAAGATAAACTTCAGCTCAAGCCAAGTTAAAATACAAATATATAAATATACACATGCACACACTAAAACCTTAACAGGGTAAGAATTTGGTTACTTACAATGTATACCAATATGAAAAAAAAGTAAAGGTATAGTCTATACTTGTATAGATTAAGGTATAATCTATTTAAGATAGCATTAAATGAGCAAAAATTACATTCTAAAAACCCTCAATATTAATTTTAGTGTGTGCATGAGATTATGAAAAGCACCAAATGCATAACCATGGTGAACTCTGTGCAGGGAGGAAGGAATGAGATCAGAAAAGCTATTCAGAGGACTACAAATGAATCTGTAATTTTTTTTTTTCCTAAAAAAAAAAAAAAAAAAAACAAAAAAACAAAGCAATGACTTATTACTTGATTACTTAATATTACATATTACTTAATAGATTACATTATATTTAATAAAGCTGAGTGGCAGTTATATAAGTGTTAATTAAATGACCTCTCATTTGTATTATTTAGAATATTTCATAATAAAGAAATCTCAAGAAATTAAAAGAAAAATGTATAGTTTATCAAATGTATGTTTTAAAAGTCTAAAAAGGAGAGACTTCTAGTGCCAGCCAAGACTGGGTAAGCCCACTATAGCCTAGCTCTCTAATCACAATGGAAAACTGGGAACAAAATATAAAAAGCAACTGCCTGAGGATTCTGAAAAGTAACCAATAGTAGACGGGTGGGGGAAAGGAGTCAAAGAAGTGACTCACACAAGGGGTGAGTTTCTAAGGTTTATTTCCCTCTCTTTTACTTTGTAGCTTTGACTCAGGGCGGTGCTGGTTATAGAACTGGAGGGTAACAAAAACTTGGGGAGAAACGTTGTTTTTTTGGACAGGTGATCAAAGGGACCCTGAAAGCCAGGGAGGAGCACGACGGGGAGAAGTTCAGGTTTTTTTCTTTCTCCTTTTTCACTCTCACAGCCATGCTCTGGGAGCGGCCCTCCTGCACAGCTGTATCATGGTAGATCCCCAGCAGCTAAAATTGAGAGACTTCATTTTTCAGGCAAGAAGAACCAGGAAAGGGGCCCCTTCGGACTGTAAAGAGTATGGGGACAATCCCCCTTACTTTTTATCTTTCTTTCTGTTACTTTGCCCCAAAGGCAGTTCTGTTTGTGCAGTACTATAAGGCACCAGCAAGGGACTCCTGGAAAGGGCAGGGGGTGTCCTACAGAGTGTCACTCTGGGGAAAAGAAACCCCTAGTTCTGGAGAGGAACTGGCACACGACTGGGGTTCACCCTTGGGCTTTGCATGTGTGGACAAACACAGCAAAGGCTTCGAAACTCAACTGACTCTGGAGCTACTGCCCCTCTAGTAAGACCTTGCAGTCTGAACCTAACCAGACTAACTGCTTGCTAAAACAAACAAAATCAACATTCAACAGAGGATGTAAATAGGGCCTAGAATCTTGCAACGTAATACTTAAAATCTGGGATACATCCCAAAAATACTCAATATATGAAAGAACCAGAAAAATTTGACCAATTCTCAAAAGAAATGAAAAGACACCCATTCTGTGATGACTCAGATAATGAGTAAACATGGACATTAAAACAGCTATTATAATATGCTCCATAAAGTGAACAAAAATACTCTTCAAATAAATGGGAAGATAGAAGCTCTCAAAAGAGAAATATAAAATATAAAAGAGACAAAAGCATTGAAAAGAACTGAATGGAGAACACAGCATAATGTATAGAGCTATCAAATCACTATGTTGTATACCTGAAACAAATGCAACATTGCATAGCAATTATATTTCAATTAAAAGGTAAATAAAATAAAAAATTTATTTAAAAATAAAAATAAAAAAACATTTCATATAAGAAATTTCTAATAAACTACTTTAAAGATGAAAAAAAGTTGAACAGATATTTAGGGACCAATGGGACAGTATCAGAATGTCTACAATTTGCATTATCCCAGGAAAGGAGAAAGAGATTGGTACAGAAAAAATATTTAAGAAATAGTGGTCAGAAACTTTACAAATTTGGTGGAAGACATTAATTTACAGATTGAAGATTACAGAACAAGGATAAACTGAAAGAAAACCATGCCTAGACATATAATCAAACTGCTGAAAACCAAAAATAAAGAAAAAATCCTGCAAGCAGGCACAGGAGAACATACTACATGTAGGGGAACAAGGATTCAAACGACTACAGATTTCTCATCTAGAACCAGGAGGGTCAGAAGGCAGTGGGCAACATCTTTAAAGTGCTGAAAAGTCTAAAAAGAAACAGGTGTGCTTAAAATTACATTTCAGAACTTCTCCTAGATTCATTAAAGTCACAAAATAATTTAAATTAGCTTAAAATCTGCCAGGCCATTGTACTTAAATTCTAGAATGCCACGCACCTGGATCTGGCAGCAGCCACACAGTTCGGATGGTTATCAGGGATAACACCCTTTCCCATGGGGGTGGGCAAAAACGGCAATTTACACCGCTCCACCAATTTCCTGATACCCTCCTCTGCATGGGCATAAGCAGCACCTACAAGAAATGCAAACATATTAGACAAGTCAGTTAAGCTCCAGGCACTGTGATTCTTAAAACAGTTCACATGAAATTGCTTTTAGAACTTCTCAAATTTTCTTCCTGGGAATCTATCTTAAAGCCTATATATGGAAGAAGCTTTAAGCACAAACATGTTTGTCACAACTATACTAAACAAACAAAAAAAATGGCAAAGATTTAAGTATCTACCAGTGAAGTATTAGTATATACATGAACAGACATTAAAATTATACTTAGGAAAAAAATTTAAGACTGAAGAAATGTTGTTATAATATTAAATGAAATACCCAATATAACTAAAACAGTCTATATGGTGTGATCACAATATACAAAATATACACACAAAAATGAATGTTTAAGATAGTTGTCTTTGGAAGAAGGGATTTCTTCTTTCTAATCTTCTGGATTTTCCAACATTTTTAATAATGATCACATATTATTTTTATAGTGGAAGAAACCATAATTCATGCATAGAACTGAAGAAATAGAATAGATATTCCCTTAAAAGCATAAGATCTCTGGGCATTCTAGAATAATTCTGTGATTTCAAAATTAATAAATAATGCTAAATGAAAAGAACTCATACTCCAATTTTGAATATTAGATATGTTAATAAGTAATGAAGACAATTTCTAAACAGAATCAACATTCTTTTGACAGCTGGGCAAAGTTTAGAGTTCCAATCAATGCTACCTTTCCCGATGATAAGAAGGGGCTTCTTGGCATTTCTAATAACAGTTGCTGCCATACATATAGCGGAGGTCTCTGCCATACTAACAGGAGGTGGCATGCAACACTCCGTGTACCTGGAAGTGAAGAGCTCTGTTCATTAAAAGAGGCAAGTTTTAAACTTTTAACTGTAAAAATAACAAATACATAAAAAGGTAGAAAAAAAGCAGTACAATAAACTCCATATATCCACCTGATATATTCAACAACTTAGTATCATTTTACCACATTTGCTTCACACATACGCACACAAATATGTACATAAATTTGTTTCCTGAACTATTTTTTTTTTAATTTTTTTAATGTTTTATTTATTTTTGAGAGAGAGACAGACAGAGTGCGAGTAGGGGAAGGGCAGAGAGAGAGGGAGACACAGAATCTGAAGCAGGCTCCAGGCTCCGAGCTGACAGCATAGAGCCCGACACGGGGCTCGAACTCATGAACCGTGAGATCATGACCTCAGCCGAAGTTGATGCTCAACCGACTGAGCCACCCAGGTGCCCCATTCCTGAACCATTTTAAAGAGAATTATAGGCAATTAAAAGCTTTTCCATGCAGCTCTAAAATATAAAGACTTTCTCCTATATAACCATAATGTCCCTATCACGCCTAGTAAATTAAGTTATTGCCTAATACCATCTAAAACCAATCAAGTGAGTAATTCATTGACAGGAAATTTGAATCAATGGTTTTACATTGTAGTAATAGTTCTTGTTGTAATAATAGTAAAAACATACGAAAAGCCAGTGTTTACTACTATGTGTCATTTAGTCTCATTTAATTTTCAAAACAATGAGGTTAGGCATTTTATTTCCATATCACCACTGGGGGAAAAACTCAAAGTAATTTGCCCAGCGTCCCCAGATGGTATGTGGCAGAGACTGGATTGAACTAGGTCATTCTGTCTCCAAAGCCCATGCTTTTAACTACCTCACTATATTTCCATTCACTGGGAGAGTCAATATTTTAGTATACAACATGCATTAGAAAAGAAATATTAAGTATAGTTAACATAGAAATTTAAATTATAGTTAAGTATTTCTAGACACCAAATCCTCAGTGTTTTCATTTATTTGAATAAACATTGCACACTGTACAAAATTTGAACATATAATACAAAAAAGACATTCAACCTTTACAAAAATTTTAAAGAAGGCTTACAGAGTTAACTTACCAGAGACTCATCTCTGCCTTCCCTCCGCTCAATACTGCATTTATCATGTTCAGGTATTATGCAGAGTAGATGACTCTCACCAAGAGAAGCAACTCCTTGGTATACTGAATACACAGAAATGCACACCGTCTCTCTGTAGTCACTGGAGAACCACTGGGTCCACAACAGCAAGAATATACTAAATGGTACCCAGAGTGATGCATTAACCTAAGTATCCATCCTTATCTGAGGTGACTTTGATCCCAGTGAAAAATGTTTCTTATATTCTTTATTCACCCAGTGTTTATTTAAGAAAGAAGGGAACATGCAAATCATAGTAACACCTGAGGTGGAATATTTTTAAATCACAGAGACAGACAGAAAGACTAAAATTTTTTATGCTGAGTCCTAAAGAATTTTTCAACAGTCGCCTGATCTCTTGGTTTACACTATGAAGACTCTATATAACCCCTACTACATTGATGGTGATGTATTATTTATAGCTATTAGAAGAATAATTTAAAATGAGTGCTCAGAAAGCTCCAGGCCTTTGGCCAGGACTTAGTTTAATTATTAAATTGTCAAAAGTTAAGACAAATGAAGATTAACTTATAAACTGCTAAGTAATCTGTGAAAAAGTTAAACATTATAATAACACAATTAAGAAAGAACGCCAGTGTAACTATTCCTTACCTTACAGAATTCACATTCACCTGCAAGTTCACAAAATCTGCAGGTATGTCAATATAACAAGCACCTGGACGACCATAAATGCTGCTTCTCACTGCCTAAATTTATTACAAATAGAAGAAAATATTTTAAAACTCTCATTACATAATTGAAATACATAATTCACTCAAAGATAATTAAAATTGTGAAAGGAATACGATTTTAATTTTTCTGGACATCCTTAGCTGGAGAAATAAGCAATTTTAACTAAAACTGAAATGCCCTCTATTGAAATATATATTTTAAAAGTATTTTTTTAAAGGGGAGAGATATGAAAGAAAATGCTCGCCAAAGGTTTTAAAATTCATGTTGTAGCACGCATTGGTCTTAGAAATTACCCACCAAGCTCTGCCTGCCAAGTCTTTACTCTGTAACATGTACTTTTCCCTGCTTCCTAATCCTAAAGACTTGGCCAACTGTGATGTTGTAATATGTACCACATGGTTTTGAAACAGCTCAAACATAACTCCACATACCAATGTTGGCCAACTAAAATTACTTTATAATACGCTGTTTAATCAACTAAGACACAGTTTTATATGCATTAGTATAATTTTCAAACATAATCTTTTGGAAAAGCATGACAGAAAGGGAACTCAGGGTCTCCTTTTATCTTTCTTTTTACTTTTCTGTAATTAAAAAATAGTAATTTAAAAAACTTAAGGAGAGGGGCGCCTGGGTGGCGCAGTCGGTTAAGCGTCCGACTTCAGCCAGGTCACGATCTCGCGCTCCGTGAGTTCGAGCCCCACGTCCGGCTCTGGGCTGATGGCTCGGAGCCTGGAGCCTGTTTCCGATTTTGTGTCTCCCTCTCTCTCTGCCCCTCCCCCGTTCATGCTCTGTTTCACTCTGTCCCAAAAATAAATAAACGTTGAAAAAAAAAAAATTAAAAAAAAAAAAACTTAAGGAGAAACTTTTTTCAAAAATTATTTATTTGATCTCTGTGTCTATAATTAAATGACAGCAAAATTAAAATGTACATAGCTCTTTATATTATTTTTGGCTGCCTGAATATATACTAAATTGTTGCTCATTCTATTGAGAATAAAAATAACACAGGTATGAGCAACTGAGAAAAACCAGTTGAGTTGGAGGACCTGTAATTAAATACTTTACCTTCTCGATAATAGAGGGAATAGTCTCTATGCTGCTTGGCCGGGCAGAGAACTTGCTATATAATCTACAAGCTTCAACCTATATGCAGAAAGAAAATCCCTTAAAATTCAGCTTATAGATCATATTACTCTTCTGAAGGAAGACAAAACGTTAACTCATTACTTCCTATTATGTTTAGAGAAAAGATGGAGAAAATACATTACTTGGGCTGTTTCTGTAAAGCCTATGCAAAGCACAATCAAATTTAAGTCTCAGTATGATTCAGACAGTAAATAAAAAACAAGACATCATTTTCACTTCTCAGACTAGCAAAAAAGAAAGAGTTTGATAATATTCAGCGTCTACTTCCACACAGGAAAACAGGCACTCTCCTAAGCTGCTGGTGAAAGTCTAAATAGAAGGGAAGTTGATCATGTCCACTAAAAATTAAAATGAGCATATCTTGGACCCAAAAATTACACAGCCAGGAATACAAAACTTCATCTGTTTCATGTTGTTACAATGATAATCTAACCTTACGTTTCTGCCAATTTTCCTGTTACATATTTTACTGCTATGCTGTTTGGGAGGTGTCAGTTCAGTATTGTTAATTTTTCACTGTTTAAGGTTCCCTGAGGCATTATATAGAAATGGTGTCTCTTGATACTTTTTGGTATGAAATCTATGGAACAGTTGGTAGTCTTAGTGCCACAAGCACAAAGGAATTAAGATTTTCAGTCTCTTCCTGGTCATGGCAGTATTTCCACAAAAACAGTATTTAGATTTTAAATCAAATGTAGTGATCTTTCTCTTCAAATTTCTCATTTCATCTAATAAACTTATTTCATCTTCCTTTTGAGGAAAAAAATATCTGCAATGGACATTACCTCTGCTTTCTTTTCATCTATAAAGTTTCTATAGCAATCTTAAATTTCTTTTTAAATAACTTATCTGGTCTACTTATTTCTCAAATATATCAGCATCTTTTATTTTAATTTTTTAAAATGTTTTTTTTTTTTTTTTTTTTTTTGAGACACAGAAAGACAGAGCATGAGCAGGGGAGGGGCAGAGAGAGAGGGAGACACAGAATCTGAAACAGGCTCCAGGCTCTGAGCTGGCAGCACAGAGCCTGACGCAGGTTTGAACTCATGGACTGTGAGATCATGACCTGAGCCGAAGTCAGACGCTCAACCAACTGAGCCACCCAGGTGCCCCTATCAGCATCTTTTAAATAGCCATTGTTGGGACGCCTGGGTGGCGCAGTCGGTTAAGCGTCCGACTTCAGCCAGGTCACGATCTCGCGGTCCGGGAGTTCGAGCCCTGCGTCAGGCTCTGGGCTGATGGCTCAGAGCCTGGAGCCTGTTTCCGATTCTGTGTCTCCCTCTCTCTCTGCCCCTCCCCCATTCATGCTCTGTCTCTCTCTGTCCCAAAAATAAACGTTGAAAAAAAAATTTTTTTTAAATAGCCATTGTTATTCTTTGCCATTGACAAAGTAAAACTTCAATTCCCTTTCAAGAGGACAGAAATGTAACTTTTGCATCAAACTATGCCAAGATCTAAAATTTTACAATTATTTAAACCATATATAAAATTCTATGTTTATATTCTGAGGTTCTCACAATGACTTATGATTAACCAGTAGACTCTGCCTAACGGTTTTAACTTTGCTCATAACTTTGTACTATGAATGGGTAAATATATGCTTAAGAGTTAATCATTCACTCTCACCTATTTGTTTCTACAATGTTTCTTAAACCTGTAGCATTTTGTTTTATGCATCTATTTATGAATACCTCTGTTGCACCTGTATTAAATATGTAGAAAAGCAAAAAAAAAAAAAAAAAATCCCACTATACCATCTTGTTGACAAATTCTTTTAAGTTTTTAGAAATTTTTAAATATTTTCTTTCCTCAGCTTTCTAAGATAAAAATGAACTTGTCCAGAGTCTACTGACAGTCATTTTATTTTTTACTGATAGTCATTTTAAGTAGGATTTTTCCTCTCAATTTTTTACTTCCTTAAAGTTTGAGAGGCATTGTCCTACACCATTTTTATTCCTGCATCTTTAAGACTTATTTTCAGAGTGTAAAAGCCTGTTAAAAAGATGTATTTCTTAGGGTGCTTGGGTGGCTCAGTTGGTTAAGTGTCTGTGCAGACAGCTCAGAGCTTGGAGACTGCTTTGGATTCTGTGTCTCCCCCTCTCTCTGCCCCCACTCCCTGTCTCAAAAATAAACATTAAGGAAAAAAAAAAAAAAAAAAAGATGTATTTCTTGGAAGACTGCTCCTAAGCAGGCAGAGCCTGAGCTTTTTTAATATCCACACTGAGATTATCTTGTAGTTAAGGAAAAACCACCTTTAAATTATCTCAAATATGTCTATTTTATTGTCATTGTTTATTTTACAGATAGGTTTTTATTTTTTCTGTTAAATCTTTTTTTTTCTTCTCATTAAATCTTAATAGCATTGATTTATGCTACTAAACTCTGTAATAACAATTTTAGAGTTGGATACCTGAGGAAACTCCTGGAAGGCTCCCATAGTTTCCTGACTTCTTTCAGAAGAACCACCAATCACAATCAAGGGCCTGAAAAATTCGTTGTTTTAAAAGAAAATTACAAGTAAGATAGACATGTAAAATACTGAGGAAAGTGCCCAATAAGTAAACAGCAATGTATGTTGACAGAGAAAATTTCAACAAACTAAATATTTAGTAGGCAACCGGATATGAGAGAACCCTTCTTTAATTCCTTAATTTCAGAAAAATCTGAAATTTATAGTAAATGCTCTTCCTCCATGCCTCCCTCTTCCCAAGTCCTTCTGGATATGATGCTAAATCTCTACCTGTGATAATGTAAAATAACTTTTTATGCCCTTCCCATTATTAGTCTTGGGATTAAGAGGAGGAAACAATTGTTTTTCACACCTTCCGAAGTGAGTCTATTTGGAAATGATGGAGTGAAAGAAACTCCACACCAATAATCCAATCTTATCCTTCAAGGAGAAGAAAAGTTAGGGCAAACTTAAACGTTACGAAAAACAAAGTCAGGCCCTAAAGAAGGTAAAGAAAGAGAAAGACTAGGAAGGGAGAAAGAAGGCATATGTCAAGAAAGTGAACAATGCCCTCTTACTAGGACATTAGTCTAAATAACACTAAAATATTTAATCTTCTTTCATATTCCTAGTATTAAAGAAGATTAAATATTTTATGAATTGACTAGAACATAACCCCCTCTAACATGATCTTATTGGCTAAAGCATGGATCTTTGATCTTCTTTAGTAACAGATTCATTCAAAACCATTTCCTCTAAGAACTGCAAGTTACAAATACTGTATATTTTCAATCTTTGGAGTTTTGTTGGGATTCCCTTTATGGCCTCCACATGGTTAGTTTTTACTTTTAAACTACTATAAGAAGAAAGGAAAGAAGGCATCTGGCAAGAAAGCGGACAATGTCCTACCTACTAGGACATTGGTGTAAATAATATCTAAATATTTACTCTTCCTTCATACTAGGATGATACTTCTTTGTATGAAGGAAGATTAAATGTTTTATGAATTGACTAGAACATAACTCCTTTTAACATGACCTTACTGGTTAACCCCAAAGATGGGGTTAAGTGCAAGGTCAAAGAGTAAGTACTAAAGAGCTTATAAAGCAAACTCAAAAAATCTAAGAATTTCAATTGTCTTGCTAGTTATGCAAAACAAGATAAAGAACTGGATACATTCTTACATTCTGAGCTGAGGTGTTTTAAAAATAATTCTGCACTTAAAGAGAACTGCACACACATTCACATATATAGAGAGGCACATACACATACATATACACACACACTCCAAAATGTGTTGTTTTTTTTTTAAGGTTTATACACAGTATAGTTTTAATGAGTTAAGCGTAAGCCTGTTCCCACAAGCTTCTACACGTAAGTTTATAAACTTCTATCTTAATGAAAGATGAATATGAATGACATGTTATACACTGTCTAGTTTCTATGAGTTAAACACAGAGCTCTCACCATATGCTTCTACACATACGTTTAGAAACACTTATCTTGGGACACCTGGGTGGCTTAGTTGGTTAAGCGTCTGACTTCAGCTCGGGTCACGATCTCACAGTCTGTGAGTTCGAGCCCCATGTTGGGCTCTGTGCTGACAGCTCAGAGCCTGGAGCCTGCTTCAGATTCTGTCTCCCTCTCTCTCTGCCCCTCCCCTGCTCATGCTCTGTCTCTGTCTCAAAAATAAATAAAAACATTAAAAAAATTTTTTTAAAGAAACACTTATATCTTTTTTATTTTTTAGTAGGCTCCATGCCCAATGTAGGGCTTGAACTTACGACCCTGAGATTAAGAGTCCCAAGCTTTACAAACTAAACCAGCCAGGCACCCCAAGAAATGCTTATATCTTAATGAAGGAAGATGTTACTTGAAAGAAGGTTTATACAGGGAGACTTAATGAATTAAGCATACGTGTATTCCCATATGCTTCTACACATAAGTTTTCCAAAAACTCAAAAATGTGTTTACCTCTAAGTAAGTAAGATTACTGATATTTTTTTGTTGTTCTTCCTAATACTATTCTTAATTTAATTTTTTACCAAGCCATTCCCTCAAGCACCTGATTCCAGGTCTTCTCACGCTAGATCACTGGTTGTTCCAGTAGGTAAAATCACACACTGACATTTAAGAAAATGTTTTCAGTAACAGCAATTTAATTACCAACAGTTCATGTTTGCATTTGCCATACCACCCAAAGCATGGATGAGACCTGGGCCAGAAACAACAAGGCATACTCCAGGCCTAGAAGCAAAACAGAATTTATTTTATTAAAAGCAGGTCAAGTGGAACAGGTGATTATATCACTTTAGGGGGAAACATGGCAACTTTCTTGGACTTCAAAGGAAGGACATACAGGTCTTTACTACAATTGGTAAAGCAATTATTAGAATATTTTGTGAATTATAAAAGAAACAAAAGAAAGATTGTATCAGTCTTCCTGCAAGAAAGAAGAGACCCATCATCTTCATACTATATTTCACTAACTTCTTCATATTTTGAACCTCTTCATATTTTAAAGAGGTTATATTTGGGCCCCATTGATTTAACTGTATACAAAAGAAAATTTTTGATGTGGAGTACATTTTTATGTGGAAAAATATCTTTAAAAAATTTTAATAGATAAATATGTCAATTGATATCTGACAGAAAGTAATTCTGAAATGGAATGACCTGCCTC